GTACACGCGCCTGTTCCCTTCATATGCATACGAGTTGTTTCATAATACGATCAAGGTTCTCCAGGTTATAACGTACTGGAACACGCCAGATTATCATCATCGAATTCGAAAGAACGTCCGCAGCAAAAGTACCGTTGACGTCCCATTCGAATTTTGTCGTATACCGTTGGAATATCGTCGTGACAGGCGTTTAAGATTTGTTCATATCGGTCAAGCAAAATTACAAGCAATTCGGAATGACTCTTGACCAATTCGGGCTTGTTAAACGTTATTTGGACCAGTCGTGTTACTTAAATTTAAGCTCGTGTTCGTATGATTCGAGTAATTTGGACGCAAGCTCGAATTGAAGGAACGAAACAACTCTTACAATCGTTTTTTAAAACGTCGTGTGGATCCATTGCGGCATGAGAGAGACGTTATACAATACGTTCGGATGTCTCCAAAAATGTTGACGATGATCATGCTGACGATGATAAGAGCTCGATATAAGGCAATGGATTTCGCGGAGCAAAGAGTCGAGAACGGCCGTGATCGATAGAGCAAACGGCTAATAATTCGCTGAACGATTCGCGCGAATAACAATTCCACCTTCCACGAAGTAGATTTTAATTTGGGAAAAATGGCAGATGATGCTAATAGATCGGATGTTCTTCCGTCTTAACTCTCTTCGCGTGACGCGGATGTGATGAGATTTTGCGTCAAAAATTTATAGTTAATTGAACGAAACGACTAAGCTGAATTGCGACGTGCAACGACGCGACGTTAATTAGAGTTTTTATCGGTGCCTGGCCTTCATTTATAGAAGCTGAAAACGCTGAAAAAACAGCTCGCTCGGACGAATAGCATCGGGAAAGATTCAAATCGTTGCAAATGTTCGCGTTAATTTGCATCTTCAACCTCGTCACGTTTTGTATTCCGATGTCGTTAACTTGGCTTGAAACTAGGTCACGTCGCAATGTTCAACCGAAACGAACGTTCCTCGGATGAAATAAATTTATTCGTGAGTTCTTTGTTTCAGCGCTGTCGTGCTTTGATATTGAGACTTCAATGCCATTTTGCTAATTTTCCTATTTTTGCTACTTCTTCTTCAAAGCATTTCAATATCTTCGTCCGACATATGAAATGCAAAGTTCGAAATATAAAATTAAAAATTGAAAGGTTCGAAAGAAATACGATGCTTATTCGCGTTTGTCTTTCTCCAGAAGACCAAACGACCACCGCAGCATCTTTTAATTTCGTTTAATAGAATTCAACGCTTTTAAACAAAATATTCGCCATACCACCATACCTCAACTTGGAAATGTCAAATCTTGAAATTTAGAGACTAAAAGATAGAAATCCAAATGTAGAAATTTTGAAATTAAAAATTCTCACCCGCAGGTGCAGAGTTCGCAGATGCATTGCTCCTTCAGAGGGATCTTGGACAGTATGTAGTTGGGTAGTTTTTCGGGCTGAACATCGTCCTCCTCGAGGGAGTCAGGCGTCTGATCTCCTCTCTTCGGCTTGTCATCAAATCTCTCCGGTTTATCCTCCGGTCGGCTCGGTTTTCCAGCGGCTGGCCTTTCATCGGGTTTCCCAGGTCCCTTTGGTTGCTCATCGGGTTGCGTCGGTTTGCTGGCGCCTGGCACCGTTTCATCGGCACGTGGTACCTTGCCAGGTCTTTCCTCGGGGCGACTTGGTTTCCCTGCCGCGGGCACTGGTTTTCTTGTCGGGGATACATAGTCACGAACTTTTCCTGGAGTCTGTGGCCTGGCGCCAGTATATCTGGAACCAAATATTTGGAAAGTTTAACAAGTTTCACTTTGCTATTTTGCGAGGAAATTTCAAACTTTCATTTGTCTCTTTCTTGACAAATTTAATTGGAAAAGAAGAGTTGGCCACGAGGTTACGAAATTGTCATATTTTGTATCGACTTTAAAGAAAATTCTAATCAAAGAAGCAATACATAGTGGAAGTTGAATGGAAGAAAAATTTAAATGTGAAAAATGTATAAAATGCATATAATACAGAAAAATATACGAAAGTGAAGTATTTCATTTAATATTTAAACGATGAAAAACGTCTCTATCATTAGCTTCTATTTCTTCACTGGTACGAATAAAAATCTGAATTTGCGTAAACGTACGTAGTTCAACTAAATACGCTCAAAGAAATACGTTTCTTCGTTTATACGCAATCTAAAAAGCGATATGTATAATATCGATTTTGGGAAGTGTCCTATGAGCAATTCGTCGTTTTGCGCCAAGTTCCCCCGATCTGCTCCCTATAAAACAGCCAAGTATACACTCGAGCTGGCAATTTATAGAATACTCGAAGCTTCTACGCTGCTCGACTTTAATTAAAATCAGTTTGAAATTTCAATATTTGCCAAGCCAACGTCGTTTTCTATGCCTATCGACTGCTTCGAGTCGATGCTGCCCCAGCACCCTCAAAAGACGAAGCAATTTCAACACGCTCGAATAACCTATTTTCTAGCTAACTTCTAAATCTGTATACCAACCTTTCCCCGGGACTCTGTTCTCGTTGCGGAGGTCGGCTCGGCTTCCCAGCTGCTGGAATCGGTTTTGGTCGATCGTCTTCCCGCAGTCCAGGGATTCCTCGCGGATAACCAGGTCGTTCCGGCGATCCTTTCTGCGGAGTATCAGCTGGAGATTTGGGAGTCGAGGTGGTGAATCTGTCGAACCTGGTGTCATCAACGACATCCCGCGCTACCATACTAGTCACCTGCTCGTTGTCGATGAATTCGGTCGTTGACTTGGTGACATCTCTCTGCAAGCACGTTAGAACGGATCACGTTAGAGAGGGTTACAAAACGAAACGCGTGAGATTAAGTCTTTAACGTAACGCGAGACGAGTTAACTCGTCATCTCTTGGATACATGATCTCTTGGATGCAGCAACTTCTTTATTCATACACAGGCTCGTAAACGTACTCGAACGGTTTCACGCAAAACTTTTATGAACATATTATGTACGTCATACGATACCTTTTAGAGTTTCGTTAGTGTCGTAACGAGACACGAGCGTCGCGATTCTATTAGTAAAATTTCAAACTAGTCTGAAAATGAATATGCACAGACGACGTTTTAGCCATGGCAGGTTTCTTATCAAGCGTACACGTTATAGCAACCTGGCAAAACATACGGCAACGATATTTTCTGTTTACTGTTACACCGGTCAAGATGATAACACAGTTTCATCGTAAACACGATTCAGTGGATGCCGAAGAGGCGTTCAACGGATCCAGCAGAACACGCGCAGCTGGTTTTAGAATCGCGGTCCCTCGAATATGTCTTCGTGGTTCACCGAGAAGAGTACTCACTGTGTCGTCGTCGGAGAAAGGTCGATGAAGTTAGAAACGTTATTAGCGAGAGCTGACGTTGAATTCAATTAATTCAAGTGGCTGTGTGCAGTTAATATAACCATAGATGACTCTCTGCGAGAAGATTATACCAGGAAGTCACCTAGTCTGCCTGTGTTCGCCAAGCGAAGGTAAATTAGAGCGTATCGTAATGTTATTAGTCTGAGTGTCACTCTATCTAATGGGTAGTCCATTTCAAACTTAACGGAATACACGAACTTCTAAAGTTAAATTGCATAATGTTTTTAAACGCGTACGAACATTTATGAATCTTGAGCGGTTCCGTTGCTTTTAGCCTGGAACAGCCTCGGAAGCTAAATAAATTTCCCCGGAGCAATTTCGTTGCGCTTTGTCAAGGAACTCGGCCCTTCGTCACGCGTCTTCGACGCTGCAAACAATTACCGGAGGATTCCGCTAATCAAAACGGTTATCACCTTACTAATTACAACTACTTTCACGGCTGGCTCAAAGCAACCGCGTTATTCGCCAAATGGATCGTAGCGACTGTTCTCTCGCGCTATCTTTTGTCGCGCTAATATCTCGCTTAATCATTAACTATTTTACGACGATCATCACAACAGCATTTCACAGAGAATTCACGATAATGACAACGAAAGGAACATTCGCTTGATGTTAATCGCTGTTTTGATTGAAATTTCACAGCATGTTTAGAACAGGACACAGCATGGTATCATAATGTTATCCTCAGGATTAAGGATTGGACGTGATACCAACGACAGAACGAACGCACGAAGTAGAAAATTGTTGGACTTGAGAGTACCGAAGGTAAACACGAAATTTTTTAGACTTTCGAACTTTTCCATTTCTATAAACGTTTCACATAGCAACAGTTCTCAAACTATAAACTAAACGACACGGGCTTTGCACTTGGAATTAAACAAGAACTTTTGTACTTTGAGATATTTGAACTTTAAGAACTCTACGAAACGCTAGAACTTTAGAACTCTGTACTAGTCGAGCGTTACACATATTAAGTATTAACAAATTTAATTCGTTTGTTAAATATCCGGCTTCGCGAACCGTGTAGAAGTCTTAACGCACCGAAGATAGAATTAACAGGGTAGCAATTAATTCACACGTAACGGAAAATCGCTACGTTATTTGATCACGATTGAAGATTCACGACACGAAGAGCACCTTGTTCGACCGATATCTACGATTTATGCAGCTGAAGTACGTTCGTTTGGATTCGCTGGAACGTAACCTTTTGTTTGACTTCCGCCCCGCACCGATCATTTCCGATTAAATAAACGAATCGCGATTTAAACCGATGTTATACCAGAACGCTGTCGATCTTTTTGTAGGACTTTTAACGACGTTAACGAAACGAGTTTGTAAATTATCGTTTCTATCTCTTTTTCTCTTTCGCTTCAGCGTGGACCAAACGTTTGCACAGAATGATATTTGTTGGATAGGCTAAGGATAGAGTCATTCGAGTTAAAAGAATATTTGAAGTAGGCTAAGTAATTTGTAAATTGCGAAATTTGATTATGAGGAATTCTGAACGATTTACATTTGTAAAAGGACTATTTAACTCGTTATTAGTGACGTGATAAACGATGAAATATGTCCTGTAACAGGCAGCTCAGCGACCCTTCCCTTTCTACGAGCAATTCCTATTCATCGAAAGACAAGTTTGTTCAACTAATGTTAATAATCTCAGTTGTGACTATCGCAATTCAATAGCATACGTGTACTAGTTTATTTCAGCAAGTTATTTCGCCGTTCATTCTATTAATTCATATACCTATGAGCCGTTTATTCTAAAAGCGATGTAAGTCCATTTTCCTTTGTCGTGAAATACCAATGTGTTTGCGTTTCCATTGAGTGAAAGATCCTGATCTACTTACGTTGCCTAGTTTCCTACGGTGTTTCGATAGATGTAAATTCATCGTAAAAATTCTCTTCTCAAGATAAATAAATAATAAATACCTTCTCCCTGATTCGAAACAACTTTATCATAGGATTATTCGACTTATCTTCTCATTTTTCCTTTTTTTTTTTTTTGTTTATTTCTTCTTATTGCACCTAAGGTAGATATTTTTCCATTCTTTGCTTATTACGTCAAATGGTGTTTCGCAATATATCACAAAATTTGATTATTCTATGCAAAGTTTACGATTGAGTTTTAAGATGTTGATAGTTCGATTATTCAAATAACTATATCTTATCGTGGACCCTACACTGTTTGAAACATGCAGCGACTGCGACATAACAAATGGTATCTGGTCGTTTCCTCAGAGACGAGGCAGATTGAGGGAACGAAAGATGAAAATCGCAGAGGAAGAAGTGATAATTGAAAGTCAGACGGTCACGGTTTATGACGCGATTTCGCAGTAGGTTGGGCGGAAATCGATAATAGGAATGCCAGCTCGTATTCTATTCCATTGTTCGTTAAATACCGACATTAAACGAACTGCAAAATACCATAGTTATGTACTTAGATTAAAAATGACGACGTGACGACGCTTACCTAAACGGAATTCAGGTAACGCGAGAACGGAACAGATGGCGTTTATGCACACGTCTGCATCGTATCGCATAGCCCGAGCTACTTTTGTACCCTGCACCTACTTCTTCGAGGATTCGGTTTCCTCGTTCATAGACATCGAAGGTGTCCTTATAACAGCTGAATAGCCAGGCGCGCGTGAAATGCTCCAAAACAGATTTACGTTTCAAGCATTTGCACGCTGAAATTCCGTTCTTGACGAAATCTCTTCCTGGAAGATATTGGAGGAAATTAGAGTACCGAAACTACAGTATTGAAATCGTTTAACGTTTTAGCAGTCAAAATCATAGAGGATATCGATTAATCGATGAAAATTTTACATTCCTACGAGATAACGAGAATGTTTTGTAAAAACAACTACAAATGTATAATTTTGTGAAAATAAGTTGCGAAGGTTGTAGAAGGAACGTGATAAATTAAGAATCACGTGTTGAAACTGACAATCCTTTGGGTTAGATTAAATTAAAAAGTTTTTAGTAAATTAAAAGCAAAGTTGAGGGAAGGTTATGTTACTAAGGTTTCAACTAAAAAGTCAAATAGAATTACCACAAATAGCCGCTGTCTAAATAACACGAAGAAAAAGTTAGAATGAATTTCGACAGAGCAGTCTTACGGTAGAATTACTTGGAAACGAAAAATTGTTCACGAATTTTCAGCAAACGCTCGGCGCTACGAAAGCCGGCATTGTTCAAGGGTATGCTGTATAATTAGTTCTCGAACCAATTGTCGTCGATTCCACAGCGTTAGAGGTATTCTGCCATTATTCGGTGACACAACGGAGGTCACACATAACCTGGAGGATCGTGTATCGACCTCCGTGTGCACGACGCACGACAAGCTCGCCAAAATCGCTCGTTGAATTATTTAATGCCACGCAACGAACAATCGCGCGTTCGGCGAAATTCACGGGAATGGCTATCGCCTTTCACCATCCATGCCATCGAAAACGATTCAACCTAACAAACAGGACAACCTAATTATCTGAAAAATGAAAAATCCTCGTTGAGAAGTAAACGATATATTTACGATAAGTATGAACGTGTTGCATTCGTATGAAATTTTCTGTCCCTAAGACAGATTTCCACAATCAAGCATTTTCTTCTTAATTGCGTGACTATTGTACAGTCGAAGATATAAATACGTAGCCGACAGCCTCTGTAGCTTTGAAATAGCTTCACGTATACCTCTTTTCGGTTCGTTAGCGTTGATCATTGTACTTGGCAGGCACGTTCGTTCGGCTTAACGTTGTAATTCGATAACAAGGCAAGTAACATTCGCTAATAACGTAAAGCGGTCCCTGTGTGCCACTTTTCGACCGTAGGTTCGTAACAAAAAGAACTTTTGTCGTTTATCGAGTCAATTTTCAACGATTTTCATAGGGGAGCCCTGAACGACCCGCACGATAATCATCGTCATCATTCTATTCGTTCTAATCATTGTGACGAACGATCGTGTAATTAAATAAAACACGAACAACAAACGCGTACACTGGCTAATCGTGTAGCTATATGATGGAATTAAGAAATTAACAAAAACAGAAGTTAAATCAGTTTGGATTTTCGGAGGCTCGTGACGAGTTTTCCTGTCGAAAGCTCTTTGCAACTTTCCAGATAGTAACGTGTTAAGCGAACGAGTACAGCGTGAAGCAAACTCGTAGCAACAGCACGAGTCGAGGGAACACGATTATGCGAGTTTGTGTATACGCCAACTAAAGCGTGCCTGGATGTAGGCAAAATACACCACACCGTCAGCGGCTGTTTGCACATTGAACAATCGAAAACAGGGCTCCTTGCACCTACTTCCAGAAGGACACCTGTCGTCACGCGACGAGAAATTCTGTACCATGTTTGAGATGAACACTAGGTTATTTCCAGAGCCAAGATACAGCGATTACGTGTAAAATATTCAGGATATACTCTCGATAATTTTCAACGAACGAAACGAATTTCTACGTAGATCCGACTTCTTCAGGTATGTTCATAAGAATGCGACATTTCACAAAAATCAGCCGGTCTACTTATTACAATTACCGAATCTAGTCGTCGTCGAACATTACCAATTGTATCGTGAAATGGCAATCTTCCATGCACGAAACATAACTAGTGACAAAATTAGACGAAAAACAACAATACGTTGGAGCAGTTCTTAATACCAGACGTTAAGAATACAATGAAACTGTTCGACTCTTTGCTTATCAAGCTCTTTGCTTATTGCGGAGTCAATTTATTTGCTAAGATCTTTCGTCACGGCGTACACAACAAACAAATTTGATAAGAAATAGAAAACAGATCACCGTTAGAAGGTTTCGAAAATTCTACTGTCGTTTACAGTAGCTCGAGTGCGGTATTCTTGATCTGTAATACACCAAAAGATAATCGACTCAGACAAATCTATCCTGCAAGTATTATTAATAATACCTCGACATGTGGTCGCGTAAATTTCCTAACAGATCGAATGACCATGGTCTACGATAGAGAATATCGTTGCTCTAATGTAGTTTCTTAGGTGGTCCGAAAAAGCCCATTTATAGCGACGCGGATCGTTCCATGATGAAAAAGAAAGCCGAAGGCTCGAAATTGGCGTCATTAAATCGGTCAGAGTCAGAGCGGAGCGTGCATGCAATTAACTCCAGTGTTCTCGTTAAAGACGCTCAAAGAGTCCGGTTTCGATTGTTACGTTAATTGGATGGAAAAGAAAATAAAAGGTTCGCCGTGAGCGGCGGTTGAATTTCGCTCGGCGTATGTATACCTGTTGAATTTACCCTGCTTGCCGCCACGATGGAAGAAATTGATATTCACAGGGATATGCGTGTATGTATGTGTGTGTGTGTGAAGAGAGAACCGAGTGCCAAGTATTTCATCGACCACCACGAGACCTCGAAACCGATGTCACGGCTACCAAACGAATCAACGCTATCGATAGAATCTATCTCCACGTAACTAGACTTCCATATCGATTATTCTATGAACCATAAAGCGATATACAGTGTGGCTGACGGAAGTATTTGAACGCCCATAGAATATTTTTATGTAAATAGATAAATACAAATTTGAAAGATTAAATGGGATCTGTAAATTCATTTGTAACAGGATCTTGTACAAATTATTATTACCTAGCAATATTTTTAAGATTATCTTGTGACTATATCGTCCTGTCAATCTCGAAAAATTTAATCCTGTTGCAATCCCCGAACATTTATATCTCAATCTCGCTATCATTTTGGCAAAAATAAAGAAAAGATTTTCTACGTTTCTACGTCAAAATTGAAAAGAGAAATTTTATGCGTACGGTAATAATTTTGTTATATCTTCGTCGAACTTAAGATATGGTTTAACGTTAGAAAGATGGAAAAATTACGAGATATCATGACTGAAAGACGACAGAGATCGCTACTATTTATTTATGTTATATAAGGTATTTTCGTGACCTGTGTCTATTTGCAGCACATCTGTTTTGATATCCAACTTTATCAGTATAATCATAGTAATCACATGTCATTATCTGCTAATGAAGTTACAAGAAGTTTAGTACTATACGCATAATGTATCCATAAAAGTTTTCTATAATAAGACGTTCAATTGCTTTCGTGGATCGTTATATTTCGTTTAATCCGAAAACCATTCTAAACGTTCTTCTGCACGGCGCACGAAAAATTTCATCGAAAAATACGGTGTTTTACGAAAAATCAGGTCGATAAGACGATCCAAAATAAGATTCTCTTTATCGTCTTGCTGAAGACTGGAGATTGCGCGTTCACAAAGTTTCAATCCACTTTGCCAAGATCAGTTTCGTCAGCTTTTTCTCTCGTAGCGAGAATTTCTCGCATCGCATGCAAACTACAGGCCGTTTTTTAATTTTCGATACTTTCTAACCTTTTTGTTTCCCTTCTTTTTCTTTTAACGCGTGTTTCTAATCGAAGATCAACCATCATATTATAGTGTATTACTCATACACCGTGAGCTTAGATTGGCGGTATGGTATAAGTGAAATGAGAGAAATTCTATGGCTCAAAATAAGACAAAAATTAGGAATAACGAAATTACATGTACATATCGTGTGTATTATATAAAATATTTTGAAATTTCATTAACACTGTAGCGAGACACGACTTTCGTGATCATATGGATCAAATTCGAAATTAATCTGAAAATAAATGCAGCAGCTACAAGTTACAAGACTAAAAGCAAAAAATTAGTATACGGCTATTTCAAACGTAACAATTTGTATTAAAAATGGACCCACTGAATATCGAAGCACGTACTAAATATAATGTAGCTTCTACCTATATTCTCAAACTTCTTTCAAGCTTTATCGTATTCGTGATAATTATTGGGTTTCGTTAGAGTGCGAGTGGAATTTCAAAATGTTTCTTATAACGCATGTTATTATACAATTATAATATATATAATATAATCATAGTTCGTAATATTATATTATTGCTCTCATCATCATAGTTGAAATCTATCTCGAAATAATTAAATATAATTAACGCTATAAGTAGTCTCATTAAATACATCGACGTTAATTAATGTAACTGTTAATTTACTTAAGTATGTATGTAAATTTTACGGACTCTATGTTATAGTAACGAATATCTAATCTTGTAACTCTCATTTCTCTTATCTCAACATTTATTTTATGTTTTCAGGTACAGAACTATTCGATTTATTTTAAACTTCGTTAATATAATTATGACACTCGGATCTCAGTACTAATGAAATTAAAAATTATTTTACGTAACATGCATAACATATTGATAAAATAGTTTCGTCAGCTTCTGTACATCACGAAGCAAATTAGATCTAGGCTTTTTAAACAAAAATCATATATTTCTCTCCACGAATGAATGTTGCTGCACGCGTGAATACCGATTACGTGAAATAAATGAAAAACATAAAAATAATCGAAGAGTACAACATGATTTTACTTGATGCCTGAAAGGATATCTTTATGTGCTGTTACACGATGCAAATGGACGTTTTCAAATCTAACGATCTGTGCACGATGTTTGCATTTAGTGGCGCGAATGCTCATAAATTTTATAGCTAGATTCTCATTTGATAATGTGTTACTAAAAAACTGGCATTATCAACCTAAGCAAGGTTACACGAGCAGGTACGGGATATGTTCTTGGAATTCCATTCGTTATACGCAGGCTAGAGCTCGTAAACGATGACATCATTCACGTTTGGGCATTGATAATTCAACGCAATCGAAATGTTCTGCTTCGATTATACAGGAATGTTGTTAAGCACTGGTGAATACGTTACTTATCTGTCTATGCGTAAAATGTTGAATCATGTGACAGGCGATCATGACTATTCAATATAGAAGCAAGTAAGAAGAACTGAGATGATTGTGGCGTGAAATACAATTGGTTCCGCGTTTAACGGCCGATGACATCACTTCCAAAGTTGGTCATTGTGTTTCACGGTGATTGTTTGTTACGTATCGCGTGTGTTCGTCAAAGGCTATCGCAGGTGATTAAGATACACGCGATCACAATGTATAATGTACATTAACGTTCAAAAGTATTCGGATTCTTCGGTCATTACGAAGAAAGCGGAAAAACACACGTTCAGTTTCAACATCAAATAATTCAGAAATACGATCCATTGACAATATATTGAATGTTAAAACAGTTCCCCTATAATAAAAAACCAAATCGAGAAATGTCATCCCTGCGAAGACTATCATCTTCGTATTGAACTTGGTCCCATTATTAATCGCAATCGTTTTCATAACATGTAACAACTGTGTTGTTCGTTGGAGGCGCTCGAGGAAAGGAACGAAACGCGAGACGAAGGAACCGGGTCAAAGGTTGGCAAACCAGTTAAACGACGAGCGTGACGAATTGACGGACAGATCGAGGTTCGCAAACGTGGAACTCGGTCGGTCGATCAGAGTTTAAAACGAAGCGAAAATCGAGATGAGATCACTTCCAAACTTGGCCACGTTCGATACCAATTATTATCGCTTTACATATGCTCGATTGAAGTCGATAGCAGGTGATTGCAATTGCGTGCACGCGGCATACGTCACTTGATATTCCGTTGCCTCTTATTAGCCAAATGCACGAACAGATATATTCATACTCGTTTCATCGCGGTATTACTCGATTGAGTTAATAACTGTTTACTGCCGTGGAGTTTGAAATTGTCGTGTTGTGAACGTAACTCGCCTCGGGGATTGCAGCGCTTGAAAGTGCTCCGAGCAAGAAAATCATTATGCGGCTGGTTCCTGCATCAGGCTAAACGTTCACCAGCCCGCGAACGGAAATATTTACGGTGTGTCGCGAATGTCGCAATGAAAACGAAATCACGGTGTTTCGATTAAGTGCTGTCGGTGGAAGAAGTGAGGCTGTAAAATTGATTGAGCGTTCAAATTTACGTCATTTAAGACAGATAGAAAATATTCTAACAATTATAGAAATTATTAGGCTGATTTCACATTTGACCGATATCATACGGTGGTCATACGTCATTACGACTTTAATAAAATTTCAGAAAGTTTCGTATAACGTATATAACATATTCGTAAAAATTTTACATGGTATATCATGTATATAGTAAAATATATTATTGCCATGTTTTTTAATAGATAATTTAAATTTATAATTTAGTAATTCTATAAAAAGATAGTTAACGTTATTTCTAGCTACAAATTGATCATTAGTTTAGACACTTCGGTGCAATTCACGTACTATAAATTCACCCAAGTGTTCGAATATGTTCAAGTACATACTACATTAACCAGATGACGAAATAAACGATTAGTCGGAACGCCGAAACAGTTGTTCATTTTCATTAGAAAATGTTATTTAGTAATGAGTTGGACTACGTGTCGTGAGATAAAGTAAATCGTATATCGCGTCGTGCAAGTCGTTCGACGCTGTTATTGGTGTTAATTGAAACGCAAGCAAGATTTATCGGCAAAGACGTAAATGTTTTCGACGCGTTCCGTGATTGCAGAGGACGCTGTATAACGTGGTACTATAATTAGTCATGAGGAGAGACACTGCATGAAACATAGATACAATTCTTTTTTCCATATTTTTTAACACTGCAACTGTCCTTCAAGACAGAACAGCCTTTTGCATGTATGTCGAGGAATATCGATAACATAAAATGAAACAAGCACGTTACTGTAAACCAGCGCATATCGTCTTACGAAAGAAGAATCGTTATGAAACATCGTGAATACGAAGCATCGCGATATTTTGGCAATTGGAATTGTAAAAAGAGTTTCAACTTTTTCGCATTGCAGATTGACCCTGTATCAAGCATTCTCCTCGTTCTCCATGTTTCTCTCGGTGGTTCTGCTGGATCGCTAGGTTACGTCAACTTTATTTTTAACCGAATAACGCGCGAGAACCTACGACCTTCGCCTGGTTTGGAAGTGAAAGTACTCGACGAACTTCTTCCGCGACTGTCTTTGTATTTATTTTATTTCCCTTGAAAGATCGGTAACTTGATTATATCATTGGCTACACTGTGCTGAACTCACGCATTCTACTGATATTTATTTACAGAGAAAACTCAGCCAATAAAATTCTTTTCCTATTCGTGAACTTCAGTACTTGAAAGAACTCGAAAGATCCTCCTTCTTACCGTTATCCTTCCTTATTTGATTCTCTGATTTACTCATACCTTGCTACTACAGTAGAATCTTAATTATCCAAACTATGTAACCACGACACATGAGCAGTCTTGATAATTCATTTTTATCGAATACAGCGCCATGAAGGGGGAATATCTAAAGATTCGTTTCTATCTAACGATATCTGTAACTATGGAAATACTTGCTAAAAGTATGGTAAATTTCCATTATGAAGTCATAATTGTTAATGACCGAAAACATTTACACAGTATCGATGCTCTGGTAATCAATCATTCGTTCATTCATTAATCAATGTCCTGATAATCAAAGTTCTACTCTACGACGATTTATCGTACTCTTATATGACCATTATTTCATCTTTACGTACTATGATTTAAACCAAGTTTTACGCAAGATCTTGATTTCATAAAAGTACAAGGAAGCATCGTTTAAATGAAACGCGATTATCTTTCAAAGAACAATCTCCGCCATTCTATTTCCTTCCTTAACAAACCAGAGGATTGACTAATAGTTACACGTCGTTACTCACCACATCTTTACGCGTGTCCGTTGTAAATTCGCTGATGACACGTTCCTCTAACACGTTGCGAACGTCCTGCACCGAGGTGAACGACGACTGATCGATTACGTAAGAAGATTTCTGAACTATATCAATATCCATGACATCCTTCCTGGTGTCCGTCACATCATGTTTCACGATTGAAATTTTCGTGGTATCGTCTTTCGGCACGACAGAACTTGGTCTGTCTTTAGGTTCATCTCTTGTAGGAGATTCTCTTGGTCTCTTTTTTTCGTCTACTGGTTCCTTCTGTTGGTCAGTCGGTTTCTTCTTCTGGTCTTGTGGTTTCTCATACACAAACGAACCATCCCAAGTTGACGCGCCTGGTTTAGTCGGTCTCATAGATCTATCCACCGGACTTTTCTCAGGACTCTTAGGACGTCTTTCAGGAGACTTTCTCCCGTCTTCAGGATGTTTTCCAGATGGTGATCGAGGAACCTCTCTTCGAAGTTCTCTTTCGGTATCTGCAGTGCGTTTTTTATCGTCGATTTCATGAAATATCGTTGTAGAGACCTTGGACGAATTAAGAACTTCGGAATCTGAAGCCAGAGTTCGTTCAAGCGTCGTCGACGTGACAAATTCAGAAGTCTCCATTGTAGTGTCCGATAAAGTGATAGATTTTTCAGTGAGATAAGTCGGTTTCTTATCTTCTGACAATTTTCCATTATCTACTGGCGACGTTCGAATGGGAGCTCGTTCATCGGTAGGACGACGTGAAACGTCTGTCGATGGTTTCTTATCGGTAGGCTTTTTTGCTGGTTTTTCGTAAACAAACGAACCATCCCACGTTGAAGCACCTGGTTTGGACGGTCTAAAAGAGCTGTCAATTTTACTGGGGCTCTTAGGACGTTTGTCAGGCGACTTGAAGTCTTCTGGTTGCAACCCTTTATGTTCCAACGCTTTCTTCTCGGGACTCTTAGATCTATCTTCGATCGTCACAGACTTCTGTATCGTCGTTGGAACGCCATTACGAACAATTACTGTCTCTACGGAACTCGTGGAGTAATCCACGTTTGACGAATCGGTATAACTCTCGTGTGTGGTAGACTGTTCCAATACAATGGAATTGCTATAAACTTCTGAACTAGTGGATACTTGCTGAGAAGTATCACGAATATCCAAAGTGGTATCACTGATGTGCTTTCTCGATTTCGGTATTGGACTTTCTCTTGGTTCAGGTCGAATTTTATCTGCCGGTCTATCAACAGATTCTCTGCTAGACGGTCTTTTCGTTTCTGGCGATTTCTCCATGACGAAAGTTCCATCCCAGGTCGACGAACCAGGCTTGGTAAGCCTGGTATCTCTTCCTTTAGGTGTCTTGTCGGGAGTTTCTGGTCTACTCGATGTTCTGCTCGATGGACGATCTTGGCGAACAGGTTGCACATCGTAAACAATCGTCTCGTGTACGGAAGATAAACTAGAATCTTTAACATCGGTGAAACTCTGTTGACTCGATGAATGTTCGACTACGTAAGCCGTTGATGAAATTTCCGCCTCGTTTATCGAATTGTCCTCTGTAACGTCGCGAATGACGATGGAATCGGTCGGCCTTCGGCTATCCAGCTTTCGACGTTCATGAACTTGCGGCTTTTCGTAAACGAAACTGCCATCCCAAGTGGATTGACCAGGTTTGTAACACCGCGAAGTAGTGTCACGGGTAACTGATTTTTCTGGAGTTGATCGTCGAGGAGAACCTCCATCTCCGGAATCTTCTTCTATAATTATTTCAGAAACAGAGGTCACCTTTTCGCTAGTTTTTTTCTTCTCGTCGGTGGATGTAGCGTATTCCACGACGTACGAAGACGAAACAGACTCTGACATACTGGAGATATTCTGCTCCTCCGTGACGTCTTGAACATCCACGGAATCGTGTCTTTTCGCGCTTGTTCTGACCACAGTTTTGTCACTCGATAATTTCTTACCGCCATCCTGTGGCTTTTCGTATACGAATTGTCCGTTCCACGTTGAATCACCGGGTCTCGTAATTTTTTCTCCTCTACTAGACGACGATCTGTCTCTTAATAGCTCTGTTTTACTAACAGGTTTTCCATCGATGTAAATTTCCTCTGTGACATCTTTGCGTTCTTCCGAAATGAACCTCGAAGAGTCCGTGCCGCCTTGTACCACGTGGACAACGTTCGAAGATTTCTTTTCGTAAGATCCGTCAGAACTTTTCTCCTTGAAATCCGTTCTCTGTGTTGATTCTATAACATTATCGCCACCAATATGATGAAAGACAGAAGCATCTGACACGTTTCTTTTTCTCGGTTCTGGTGTTTTTTCGACCATAAAAGTACCGTCCCACGTAGACTCTCCAGGTTTCGTGTATCGAGTCGAACCTTTCGAGTGTGCTTCCGTCGTAACTTGCCTCTGTCCTCCGGCAAAATCGATCGTGTCTTCAGAAACATGTTCGTGAATGTCGCGACCGATCGAGTTAACGTTTCGATCAAAACTTTCGATGTTAGTCGAGCTAGAACGACCCTCGTCGATGATAATTTTCGAGTCCTGTATTACCGTCGACGATGAACGCTGATCGATAAACGAACTCTCAGAGATTTCAATGCTCGACATGCTCTCTTGTACATTATCGGTGTTAACTTTGGACACCAAGCGATCTATTTTTGCCTTGTCGAGACTGTCCCGGTCTGTTCGAGACGTATCGACGTTTCTCGAGACGTCCTTGTCTTTAGCCGGACTTTCGCTAATAAACGTGCCATCCCACGTAGACTGGCCGGGTTTGTTGCACCGCGTGACAACGTCGCTAATTTTGTCCGCTTTTACGCTGCTCTTCGCGGTGCTTTCGCTAACAGTGGCGTTGGAGGAAGAATCGAGGATGACCTTGTTACTGGCAATTCTGACATCATCCGTATGTTTAACTCGACCTACGTCCGAGGGTACGACCGTGGTCTCCTTGTCAATGATGCGACTCTGAGTGGCTGTTACTCTACCGTTGTCATCGAGTTTTTCACCTGATTCGTGGATTCTCGAGATATTCGCGAACGTTTTTCCATCCTTGGTTGTCTCTTCGTACGTTTCTTTACTGGCTTGTTTGCTTTCGTACGATTTTGATGACGTATGTATTCTGGGAGCGTGATCACCGTTCACGATACCGTTGGAAGACGTCGTCTTTGATAGCTGATCGTAATAATCTCCCATCGAAGACGATGTTTCCACGACCATTGAAGAGGATATAGATTTCTGAATAGTTTCTGCTCGAGACTCGCTACGACTCTCGGACGATCTACTAACTTGCTCCAACGTTTCTCCTCGATGTCCATCCGAACGTACCTCGACGTCCTTAACATTTTGTGGACTGTCACGAACAGTTTTTCCCTGTTTAACAGACTGCATCTGTTCTTGCGCTATAAAGTCCTGAGAACTCTTACCCGTTCTATATGTAGACGTACTTTGACCAACAGTCTGAGGAGCAGACTCGATCACCTTAATTACGTTACCCTTGGAATCCATGATAACCTCGCGACTCGCGCTGGTTACCTCGACGACGCTGCTCCTAGATTCGCTCTCCATAATCTGTGTCGCTTCCTCGACCATGCTCGTCGACGATACCATCTCGACCGTCTCAACGGTCGTCATATCCGAGGAACTGGAAGAAGTCGTGGCGACTTCCTTCGAGCTCCCCTTGCTCTTTCCACTCGTCTTCTTGTGTATAGTCATTTTAACTCACTTCTATTCACAATCGTATACCGATCTTTCATGCGAGTGCAACAACACGAAGTAACGATACAAAGGGCAAACTCGCGTCGCGCACCGAAACCGTAGGAAAATAGACAAAAACCAAGAACTATCCGTATGTTTACTTTCTATCACGATAGGAAACACGCGACTCGGCGATCACTCGAGCCGGACTGAAGCTTCACTACGACCGGCCCAGTTTGCAAACTCGTTTCTCTTCGTCCCTCAACGCTCGCTCTATTATATCGTGTATATCAACGATTATACACACTCTTCGCCTTTTCCACTGTGTCTCTTTGTTTCTTGTTCTCTGCGTGTCTCGGTATAACGTATACGTGTGTAAATCTGCGTGTCTCAGTGCAGAACGCGCCGTTAGAATGGTAAACGCGGGAGAAAAGATTCGTTTTGATGTTCACGGTCCGGTACCGCGAGTCGATGTGGCATCGACGATGGCTCGCTGGCCCTAGTGACCACACCATACACCGTTGCTCTCCGTCACTACCATTGCCACGACGTACGCGAACCACGACTCTTTTGCCTGGAGAACGCCGATCCGGCCTCCCTACTTTTCTCTCGTATGTCGCCCGGCGTGGGATGTTACCGCGTATTCGCTCGTGTCTCGCGTCCGTGTGCGTGCACACGATCCTTCTAGCCGATTCTTATTGTGTACCGTTCTCGAGTGAGTTGGCGAGATACAACTCTTCCTCTCTTCTTCTTCTTCCCAAACCGGGTCTTGTCCTCGTTCTTCTTTGCCCGCTTCGCTTTTGCCCGATCCTCTTTAAGGATAATCCACCTCCAAACGCTCTCTCGCCGTCTTTTCCTCCGTTTTGCGTTTCGCTGCGCGAAAAATCTCACCTCGAATCGTTCATTCTGCTGAGGCATTTTTACCAAGAAGCAGAATGTTTCCCGTTTCTGTCAACGTCGCCAGACGACTAAAAACGACTTTGCTAATACACCACGTACATACACGTGCTTATGTGCATTCGTTAGAAGAGTACACATACTGTATCAACAATATTGTATAACCGCCTGCAGCGCGAGCGTGTCTATCTACGTTTCGTTACGCTCTACGGTTATTTGTCTACTTCAAATTATGAGTCTGCTTTGACTGATCGTAAAATTCGTTCTAGCTCCTATCGACGTTAACGTAGGAACGTTGACTCGTAAAAGGATAGTTGTTGTCGAAGAAAAATGTTTTTATTAAAAGTACGTAAGTTAATATTCTCGCATTCTTAATTTGTAAACCACGGAAGACGAGCTGACTCATCGCTCAGATTGCATATTTGTTAGATATGACGATGTTTTTATTTAGAAATCGCCTATTCTTTTTACATTTAAATTAAAATGAATCATATATTTACATTTACGAGTTACTAAGACCGACGTATCTAAGATTTTTTTTTTATTATACTTCTAGATTCGTGATTCTAGAAAATTTCTAATTAAGGAACGATCCAATTAATACATTAAACGTCCACGTGACGCTATGTACGCCGAATTTTCGATAATCATCTATCAACCGTATCTCGCTGATTACCGATATTCTATCACAAAAGTTCTTGATCATTACATAAACTCTCACACCGCTTCTCTCACGCTACTTCATTTACAATCCAATGCCGTAAAATTCGCATCCAGGTGCAAGAAGTTGTCCGTGTTCTCGTCATTCGATACGCATACTTATCTAGCGCCACAAATACGCGCACCGATGCATTGGTCGATTCGTTCATGCTACAAGTTCATCCTATTGTGTAACGACAGCTCTAGCTAGCCAAACCTTTTCTGTGGACTTTCTCCATATAGAATGATAAATATGGAACGTCTTCGCGTTCCGATCGCTAAATTCCATAGTCTGTTCAGTCTGTACACGTACGTACGATATTTACCAGCGCTGGACCGTCTTACAACAATTTTATGGAGGCCCGTCGACCGAAACAGCCGCTCTGTTTCGTTCGCGGCGAATAAAGCCCGTAAACGCACACCCTCTATTTTTACGCGTCGCGTTCGCTCGCTGTAAAAGCACGTACGGTTTTCTCTTTCATTCGGAGGCTGACGTGGCGCATTAGGCGAAACACGTACAGGAACAAAACTCTCTTTGGACGCGACTTTATTCACGTGTGTGGCCGCGCGTGTACACCTTCAGCTTCTTTCACGGCGAAAGATATTGCAACCGAAGCGTAGCCGACATTTACTCTTTTCGCTTTCCATCGTAAGAGATTACGTCGACGACGATACCACGTACACGCGTCGCGTTACAGGTACAAATGCAATTTTCGCGTTGCCGAGCGTGTTCGCCGGAACATGTTCGCCTCTTCCACTACGATTCGGTATACACGGGAATCTGTAGCTGTTCTTTCGAGCAACGTGTCACAGACAGGGAGAAAGAGACGACGATGTTCTTATTTATAAGCATATAGCGATTACGACTTTGAATAAGCCCGTTGTTGAAGATAGAAATTTGTACTCGTATGATGATTACACGAGCTGTGTCTGTAGGTTCTGTGTCCCTTGGACTACTTACTTTCCAAGATACGGATCAGATAAGAGAAGACTACGATCGTTTGTTTAAGTATTATAGTAATATTTAAAAAATCTCTATGATACGTATCGAATTATACCGTACAGTTTGTCAGTGATTATACAAATAATTAAAACCTATTATTTGTTGATTCTATTAAGGAGATCCATATTACTTTTAGCTATTAGTTTGTTATTAATATAACGTTCGTGTACTGTCCCTACAAATCGACCAAAGTGTCCAGGTGCTCGTATGCGATAGCGTATATTAGGACTGAAACTTGCATGAACGCGAGGTTCGTTCATTCATCCATAATACCTTATACTAATCATCGCGTTTCGTATGAAAGCAGCAGGTGTTCTAATTCTTACGAACTCTACGTAACTATCTAATTACATTTTCTAAAGCTCTCTAACCGCTTCAACGCATTCATGTCACGACGATAACGAGCTTTCCCTCTAAGTGAAATTTAATTACACTACCATAACCCATAATTAAGAAACGGACAAATATGTCGTCCACGTTTACATCTTCATTCGATCTGGATGCGCACGTTTCTCTCGATAAACCGCCTCGTCAACGAGCTTTGAACTTTCCGCACTCAGCAATGCAATTACGTACGATGATAGTGACGAAAGAGAAATTATGTGCATTATCGTTCGCGATACGATATGTTCGTTTTCTGAAGAAATAAGATCGGTCGCGAATAAGCACGAATACGAAATGAACGTGTCTGGAGGAGAGGCAGAGCAGAAGGGGATAGCTCGGAGAAACCGGTCCTTCGTGATGTCTCGATGTAAACCAGGCGATGACGTAGGCCGTGGAGAGCCGCGATCGCGGCGTTCCCCTTGGAGGTGTCGGATTGGCTCAGCAATGGCCATTATTTTCGCGTGCACTATCGCAGATATAGTGGCTGATTGCACCGTTGACGATGTCGTTAACGAGCTAACAGAGTTGAAGGAATTATTGTTAGATTGCCCTGTGATACAAATGGAGGTGCGGTAACACTGAAATTTATCGCACGGAATTGGTCTGCCCTGAGAGACTTATCGCCAATGTCAATGCCGCGTTTCCGCCAGACTCGAAATCTCCAAACTATCCTTTGAACGTCCCCAATTCGTTGACTCCCTATAATTTATCATTTATTAACTAGCATAAACGTTTTAAGACGCTGTACTCTGCTGTCCGAAGAATTTCGTTTGGTTAGTTCAATTCATGAACATTCTGATCGTCACACGATTGAAATTTATATGTTTCGCCTGTGGATTATAATATTTAAAGTTTAGAAAGTATCACGTTGTAATAGAAGCACGATAAAAGCGAGTCTTTTATTTTATAATATTATTTACGCGTTATTCAACACTTTTTAGTCGATCTTATTTCATATCTTATTTTAATCGTTTGGAAATATTTAGAAACACTGGTTACCGGAATCTATTAGGTTGTTCGAAAAGTTTCTTTCGTCTCATAAGATGATAATAGATGAGCAACAATTTCTGTTTTATATTATTTTATTGTCTATTAATCCTATAACTAATATAAAACAAAAATTCATAAATACAATATAAAAAATAAATATAAAAACAAACTTTTATAACTAGTATAAAACAAAAAACATTGTGCGTCTATTATTTTCTTATAAAACGAAAGAAACTAATATTTTTTATTTTGTCTTTCTATAACGATTTCAACTATGACCAACTTCTTGTACGCTAAAGCCTTTTCATACTATCCGTTAATGGATAAATAACGCTCTTGCATAAAGACAATTTCCACGTACCTCAGAGTGACGTTACATCGTCGATGAGCTTTCTTTAAACGCGACATCATTGTCTGATTTGTTATTAAGTATTACACAAACCGAGTAAGAATCTGTTTGTCCTTGGTTAAAATAAATAACCCTATGATGCAACAGGAAATGCGACGTTAAGCAGGAACGTCGAAAGGATAGATGTACGCGTAACTTTGATGTCGTATTGATCGCGATCCAACGACCTTCGAATCCGAGACACGCGATATTTTACTTCGATAGGATCACTAAATCGACGTTGAATCATTACGTAGGTAGTATCGCATACGATATAGAGGAAGCACGCTCTTTCTTTAGTCTGATGGCCTTTAACGCTTTTCCTTCGACTTTTCGCTCGGATGCATATTTAATATGCGCCTGTACGCAACACGTCGAGATACGTTTAGCGAAAACAGCAATTTTACATCGATCAAAGAATTAGAACTATTTTTACAAGTTGTTTAACCCATTAAACACCAACGTTGCGCCAATGCCATATTCCCTTCGTAATTGATTTCAATTCATTTAAATTATACAGGGTGGTTGGTAACTGGTGGTACAAGCGGAAAGGGGGTGATTCTACGCGAAAAAAGAAGTCGAAAATATAGAATAAAAATTTTTCGTTTGAGGCTTTGTTTACCAACCACCACCAGTTACCAACCACCCTGTATAATACAATTTCGAAGCTTAACATTATGATTATACACGTTCCATGTACATATTATTCATTCGTCAAATAATACTATAGTTTCCTTATTATTTATTGCGATCTTTACAAAACTGTTTCGAAAGACGTAGGCAAGAAACGAGGTATGTATTTTCGAAGCTTGAACGAGCTGTTTGAAGGGATTCATTATCGACAAGGGCGAAACATTTTTCAAGAGAAATTTCGTGAAATCATCATAAATAGCAAATATCTAATTCTTGTTAAAAGTGTGTCTTAACTTTCGCTACGATTTTCCCAAACAACCTACTATCATTTTAACACGCTTTTTATCCGGATAAAACAATACGTTACTCTATTTGCCTTTTACAATATCATTCGTACGTTCTCGCAACTTTCGCGAATTATTTCATTGCACGATCCTTAACGGATCAAACAATGGGATGACACACGGCTGGTTCGGAGAAAAGTCGTAAAGTCCTAATAAGGAAATATTTTGCGGTCGTCCCGCGAATCCATCATCGATTTCTGACCGGTATAGGACTGCTGAAAAAAATCGAGGACGCAAAGTGCATACGATTGATCTCGATCTCGACGATCGATTTCGGTTATGGAGCGAAAGTACCACGCCCGTCCCGACGCATTTCCCGTAAAAAGTGTCGTCAGGTCATGGCGTGGGTAGGAACCGTGCAAGCGCTGCTACGTGAAACCAACTTCGATGCTCCGTATTTGGTGAATGCGTTAAAATCCGTAGGCGAACCAGTAACTGGTCGACCGCGTCATCCGGAGACCGACAAGTATACTACATAGGAACTACCACGTTCGGAATAGAAACGCCATTGAACAAACGTTTACGTTTACGTATATGTTGTTTCAATACGTGCATTCTTCGTCTTCATCTTCGAAGTGGCAGACTAAACGAGAATTCCTGGAACTTCTATCGAACTATGAGTCATTTCTCTGAATCGTTGCTCATTTGCTATTCACGCATGATAGTTGTCGTTTCTTTCCATTTTAATATCGATGGAAATTGAGTGACCGTGATAATTAAACTGTAAACGTTTGGACACTTCGGTCGACTTGTCGTAATGTTATGTGAATTTTAGTAGAACGTACAAATTAGTGACGAATTGGTAATTAGTAATTAGAAATAACACTTATATTATACCTTTACAAAACCAGCAGGCTATAAACCTAAATTAGTCGCTAAAAAACGTTAATAACAAGGTATTTCACTAGTTATCACATATGCTGTTATAAATTATCATTTGTACATAAAACGCATTTACGAAACTCGCGTGTTCTAATTGTTAAAATCATTAGACAAATATAAAAAATTATCCTACGAGCATCCCTAGTTTAGCGTTGCCACTTTCTCAAAGAAGCAAGAATAAAAACTGAATAGAAAAAAAATTGGGTCGAAAGAGTTAAGAATGAGTATACTCGATATGGTAGCGAGGTGAAACTTTGCAAAAACGAAGGGGTCTATTTATTTGTAAATTCGCATCCACTCGTGATCCATTCGTATTTACTTAAGAAGAAGGACGCGATCGAATTCCAAGGCGCGGTTATGCCGCGACGCCTTGATCAGAAACGCTTTTCAGTTGCTAGTGTATCGCAATGTTACATGTAATGGATCGAGATCGATCGTTTCTCACGGACGTCCGTCGATCTTTATGGTTAACAGGGTTAAGTATATATGAAGAAAAAGTCAACCGCCTCGCTTAAATCAGGCTATCCTTTTCCACGTCCCTCTCGGGAGAATCGAAAGCTTGCCCAACTTGAAAGACGGCCCCGGCTGGCTCCTTTTATAATGGATAGCGCTATAATGAAGCACGGTACAGCGCGTTCTCTTATTAATTAACGTTAAAAGGGAAACTTTTGTAATTCCGCTTCTAAGACGAAGCGATGTACTCTACAACGACCCCTGCGCGCCATTCTATCGTCCTCAAGATCTCGACGTATCGGCCCTCTCTCGGAAAATAACGCATTCGTGGATAATTAAAATACCTCTTTCGAATTTTTCTCGAATGAAAATCTCGTCTTCTGTCTGCTTTAAGAGATCTTCCTAGTTTCCAAAAGCTCAATATACTTGAAATTTATGAAGCATCAGTAGATGTTGCTGCATCGTTTGAATTAGGATTTTGCAAATATTTTCACGGACAAGAAAACCATGATCTTCTTTGCTGGTCCTTTTATTTCTCGATATCTTTGTAGTATTCTAGTTCAAATGATAATCACGAATCTATGGATTGAGAATGTATTGGCACGTTGAATTTTTAGATAACTACAGCGTCTAATGTTAGTTTCTCGTGTGCTTTGTATGACATTACAGAAATAGCATTTCTATGTATGGTCCTAGTTCAATGGACAATGGATATTTTCCAGAAAATAATGATGGTTTCTAACAACGTACCAATTCAAAAGTTCTTGGCCGGAACATTATTCTTATAACGCACTTTGACCCTGTTCTCATCAGTATCGCACAAAGCGAAACGAATGCACGGTCACGCATGGTTACCGTTGAATACGTAAAATACGTCACTCTCATGAAGTCACCAAAGCTATTGCCGCATATTGTTGTATAAATTCTATGCCTGCACGGTGTACGCGATACTTTCTCATATTTAATTTTCAGTAAATTTCCTATTCTCGGTGAAATTATCGTCAATGTCAAATTTTAGTTCAGTTATGAAAAAACATAAACCTTTTAAAAAAAAAAACATAAAAAAAAACATAAAAAAAACCTTTTAGAAGCTGCAGAGCAGGTTATTCTGAAAGGATCAGTTTTATCGAAGTAACAATTACATGATAGCGAACAGTGTTTCGATATAAATAATAAAGTGCAGCGTGAAGAACGTGTAATAATGTGATCAACGAAGCCAAACGAAATTACATTATACCGAATGAAAAGATCGTGAAGCGGTTTAACTAGCAGTTTCCGAGCGTATAATGAAAAATTTGATGGTAATTTCATCAGCGAACCGACCATAAAAATGAGTACGCTCGAACACACTGATCGCTTTAATCCCACGATAATGAATAAGGATGCACGAAACGAGGACACATCCATGTATCGCATTGATTTACGTTAAAGGAAGCTGATGGTCCCGCGGCATCGGAAGCATAACGAAAAAAGGGGCAAGAAGAGGCGTCGTCTCTCGTTGCGTTCACGGCAAACAGCCCATAAGCGGCCATACCAATTTCACATCTCGTCTCGAATAAGATGGTAGGGGGATGATACGAATGCATATACAGAATGCATATGATGTCATGGACTGTTTCGTTCGGTTTACTCATGGCAAGGGTAAAGTCTCTTCGCGGACAATTCTTAATACCGCGATAAATATTCGAGAGTGTTGGTAAGAACCACGGAGATACGAGTACGTAGCCAGCCGTACGCGTACGTAAGTAGACGACAGATCGCGTTTCTCTGTATACGACCATGACACTAAATTACAGACTTATACAGTGGTTGTCAATCTGCATTTACAAGTAAGATCGTACCATATACGCGCGACGCGACGCAATTAATCATCTTTTTCGTGTACTTGAGAAACCAGACTGCCCAGACCCAATTCAAAGCGTCATTGTCATACCGAGTGAAAAGGGAACCCAGAATTAGGACACTTGATGCAAACACGGTGAGAAGCAAATAGTAAACACGGTACATAATTGATCGAAAAGTGTGCATGACGTTGATTAATAATATACCTTTGTGCTGCAGAAATATGTATCAAGGCAGATTTCGTTGTCACAAAAGGTGACAGTCACCTGCGACGGTGTTGATATCAATAGAAATGTAATTACGATCTTGATATTAATTTTGCGACGAATTGAATCATGGTCAGGGGATGAATTGGTGCATGACAGCCGATACGATGTAATTTTGTTCGATGGTTCAGGCATAAGATGAGACCATATGATACGGAAAACTGTCGGGAGCTATCGATAACCGCGCGCGGAGCAAACCACAGGCGGCATTGGCACGCACGTAAGGGACCCCTTATCTCGGGAACAGAAACTACGGGGTCAATACGTCACCGCTTTGTAATCAGCCGCGTACCATGCACGCTTAAACGGATAATCATATTGACCGCTCGCCAATATTAACATTTTTCGGAAAGCCATTGCAAGGAATCGGCCTGCTAGCCTACATATTGCTCGAGTGCCCTCACACGCGAGCTCTATCTTCTTCGCATAGAGTTTTATCGAGATCAACGGAACAACGGGGATCGTGCTTATACAAGGACGCATCCACGCGGACGGATACACATATACTCGTATATCTTTCTAGCGTTGCAGATGCGGTTACCAGAGAGAGAGTATTGATGAAACAATAGAAAGTACATGAACGCGGTACTGAAAGAACAGACCATATCGCGATCCACATACGCTCGGAATGCGAATGGTAGAAGTAAATGCGATGAAAATCGATCACAATTGTCGCATGAATGCACCCTTATATTCGAGGCACGATGTAATAGAGGATATATGTATAAGCACGATAGATTACCGTTTAAATATGAATGACTCCGTTTCTATTTCCACTTTTGTTTTTTTGAAGAATAATTAATTGCGTTAATTGATCGATGCTTTCGTGCACGTTAAGGTCTTCAAAGGAAATGCTACTCTTATATATGAGGAAATCGGATCATGTGTAGAGCCCCTGTAAAACGGCAACCGTTATTACACCGCTGTCGGCTGTATGGTAGCATCATTAGCGTTGTGTAAGTCTTATAACCTCTCAGTGCAAAATTTAAATTTCAAATGTTAAATAGTAATTTTTCATTACGCTCGAACGAGTAATTATGTAAGTAAAGATATTTTCTAGTTTTGTACGAATCAAATTTCAAGAAACTAGAAGACTGTAGAAATTGCGCTTTCTGGAAGACAGATCAAAGACAACCCACGTCCGATTTCATGTGCCATGCACAAAGGCATCTGTATTACATCGGATCAAAGGGAGAAAAGAATTTACTTTATGTTCTTCGCTTAACGTACGATCTTTCTTCTATTTTACATACGAGTTAAATAGTTGAAATGTTCTAAGATAAAAAGCTGTTCACGAATCTAAAATATCGTGTATTCAAATGTAACCAATATAAACGATATAACTTTTCAAACGATACTTCATAATTTTTCATCTTTTTTCCTCTTTCAAATAGCTACATAATTTTCATTAAAAATATTATAAGAATATTGATAAATATTGATAAGAAAATTTCGATAAGTTTGAAAAGTTAAATTAACACTCACCTTTCAGTTATATTTTCCTAGTAGCGTTTCTACACAACATATCGATCATCGTCTTGAGGGAAGATGACAGTGGTTCCTCGATCACTGCCCAATTGAGGTGTCGTAACGCTAATCGTCTGGAGGTATGGAATGAGATAACGCATTGTTTTCCGACGAAACCGAACGAACGTTTGGCACACATTCGGTAACGGCGGGACGCCGTTGCACCGACGGCGGTTCGCACCTCACAGATACATCGCGACGTCTGACGTTCCCGCGCCCATTGCCGTCGAGACAACGTCGTCATGACGACCGCGCATAACAACCTTTGCCCATGCGCATATCGTTTCTATTACGTAGATTATAAACGCGGCAATATACGGACCAGAAATGATTTTTGATAAAATATAACCAATAAAAACAGAACATGGTAAGTGTGTCTTGATCATTTTTACAATTTAATAAATGAAAAAATTATCACATTCTTTAATTTTATATCCATTTCCGTACATTTATATTAAAAATATATGTACTTAACCTGTGAAAAAAGTAAAATAGAGAATATGATCTTTTAAAATTTTGGACCAATACTATTAAAAAATATAAAAATGTATTTTGTGCAATATGTCTGTTTTATCACAAGTAGAAGTATGATTGTTTTCTTTTAATAGCAATAAAAGACATAATTTGGAATGAATTTGATAGAATAGCTTATTTATAATATAAAAAATGAAAGAAGTAATTATAATAAAGTTGCTGATATTTACATATATAAGTAGGTATTACTAATACAATTCCTGATTCCTTTACGAAACATAGTAATATTCCACATTTGATCTTGATCTGTAGGATTTCTATGATTTTCAAATTTACATATTGCATACATTACACATATAGATATTATAAATAGGTAAGCAGAAGGAATAAATTAACACTAGCATTTGATTTTTCCTTATATAAATTTTCTACATAACTAAATACTTACATCGTCGATTTCATTATAAGTAACTTTATATTAAACTAATATTTATATGTTTATTATATTCATTTATGCTTTGTATATTGACTAACTTTTACACTATATTTTTTAGTTTTTATTCAACACATTAATTGAATTGACTTTGAGCTGATTCAAACTGAGTTTGAGCAATTTCACAAATGATTATAAATATTATACTTATGATATTAAGTACTTCATGTGTTATCATTTGTTCATATGTTCAGTTTGCAATATAACGCTATATCATAATATAGAATAAAAGATATAGTTTTCTAACGATGGGATATAATTGTTGGAACTCACAAAAGTCACTGTTCTTTCGCTCTACTTGTAAGAACAAATCAATAAGATCACGGTATATTAAATTATAATTATATTTCTCTTACTTCTCCCTTTTATACTTTATCATAACACATTCATGAACAAATCAACATACCTATTTAACTTCCTGATATTATAATGTTCTTAAAAGAATCTGTGTTCAAATACTATACGTCCTATATTTCTAAAGAATATTTCTCTACTCGAAGAATATGTATCCAAACCAGAAATAAAAGATCCAGTGCATTTAGGGTACATTCTAAAGATAATCATGGTATTTAATCATATTATTTTCATTTAATAAATTAGACTAATCTTTTCTAAATATTCAACAAGCTGGACATATTGTAGAATTAGATATGTCCTGTTTAACTTGTCAAATTATTAAACACTCGAGAATTTTATTCAAATATTTCCATTGACTAACATCTATATTAATAAGATTTGTTGTAACAATGTATTATACATAAAATATAATTCTGTTTTATAAATCAAAAATGACAAACTATGTTACAAAAGTATTAAGCGTTATATATCATCATTCTATAAAATGAAAGTCTTTTTCATTATGATATGTATGATATTAGTTATCTGCAATTTATTTTGAAGTTAGTGTGACAATAAAAAATGAAGGAAATAGATAGGTTCTTTTGATATGGATAAAGTATCAAATAATCTAATCAATAGAATTTCTTGATATATTTTATTAGTAACTACAGCATTAATAAACAATATAGAATAATATCCAATATTATTCTTAATAAAGAATATTTCAAAACAAAAATGAAATCTTAACATTGAAATTACAAATAGTATAACAGAGTACTAAATGCTTGATATCCAGTAATGCCAAAACCTACAAAAAAGGCTAGTGCTCTATGAGGTTGTTTTGGGAAAATAGCATATACCACTGTGTGAACAAATCTAGCAATTACAAAAGCCCTAATTAACATTGAAGCTAACCATGTAGAAGGTCCTGTGGTCAACCAAGCGAATGTAACAATATACCATATAAGTATATTTTCCAAATCATTTAAATGTGCTCTGCGTACGCGTTCAACTTCGGGATCATTGGTATTAACTTTTGATCCTTTTAACGTTTTTGTATCCTCGATGTTTGCAAATGCCTGAAATAGATATAAAAATTATATTTTCTGTTTTCGCATACGATATAAATATGGATAATTTTGTATTGCAAGTTAATGAAGTGTATACGTACCAAATTCTTAAATCTGAAGCGTGCCGTTAATGGTGCCATCGCGAGTAATTTTAAAGCAAGGACACTTCCCCAAAATGCAAAAATTTTGAAAAGTTCAGGGTCTACAAGACTTGTGTTTAAGGTGGTCATTATAAATGTCGTATATTATGTATAATTCCGTGTAGATTAATTCGATAAAGTACGTTGCATAAATTGTGTCTTGCGAATTGCGTTAGAACGTATGCTACGTACAAGGATTCTGATGAGACTATTCATGGTATTAGCGTTACATGTTAAAATGTATGTGCAAAGTGGGGATGCGTATAAAAAAAAAGCTAATGTCATCATGTATAAACATGTTTTTCATGATGATTTTACAAAACTAATACGAGTGAGAAACGATAACAATATCTATTGAAATGTGTTTTCATATTTATTCTTATTTGAATATTAACAATTCATAGATATGTCCTGTATCTTTCTTATGCTATGTAATATGTATTATACTTTTCAATTAAATTCAAATACGTGATTTGACTATTCATATATGCATTAGTCATATAGCATGTAGTATATAGATTTCATATACACTGGATTTTTGTATTCTTGTCCAACGTTATCCAATGAGAATACGTTACACGATGGTTCTCTCTGATTGGTGCTTGCTGTTACTACGAATACAAAAATATATAGTCAGCACTGCCTTTAGCACGAAGGATTTGAGCGACAAATAAGTATGTATAAGTAGCGTATGTACATATATCGCTTCTTTACGCGTCACGTGATTGGGGACGTATTTTCCAATCAGGAAACAGGAAGTCTAGAAATTTATTAAATTGTCTATTAAATTGCTCCAAGTTTTTAATCACCAATTAGAATAACGCAAAAGAAATCTTTTCTATCAGTTCAAATACAACGATTGGTGTATTTTGGATATATTTTTATTTGAAAATCGTCGACGACACACGGAAGAAAAATAGGGAATATCATCGTGCGCTTGCGCCAAAAGCAACGCTGACGCAGAAGGTACGTCAGCTGTTTTGTTAGAGGTGCGTGCATCGGGAATAGTATATTGTTGACTGGAGGGGCACTTCGCAGTTTGTTGGTCCGATCATATTTCTTTGTTTATTTGATGTGCAAAATCGTACTATTATCGTAGAAAACGTCCTGCCGCGAGTGAAAGACCACGACGCGTCGAGAAGCAACAAAGGAAATCGTAGTAACGGCTACACACTATCTGGTACCCGCTGGAAATTGATTCTGTCGAGGAGCAGTGTTCGCAAAGGCGTCCGTCCGACTGTAGTGTTCTGTGCTACCACTTCAGGAGGTTTAGGACGTTCCGCTTCCTGGAACAGGCTGCAGACTTTACTTCCAGAAGAAAAATATGGCACAAACAACGAGCAGCGCTCTAAGGGCACTTGCCCTCGAATATAAAAGTCTTCAAGAGGAACCTGTCGAGGGATTCCGCGTGAAACTCGTTAACGAGGACAACATGTTTGAGTGGGAAGTAGCTATCTTCGGGCCCCCGGATACGCTTTACCAAGGAGGATACTTCAAGGTAATTATCAGAATTATTCGTAGCTTTTGTTCGCTTTGGAAACTCGGCCGAAATAAAAATTCCACTCTTTTTATCATTTTTACATGTAAACACTACAGTCGGGCATACTTTTCATTTTGTTGGTTATGTTTCTGCTTTCTCTTTCAATAGAGTTTTAAGCATATTTATCTTTTCATCAGAAAGCATTATTTTGATTGTTCCAATCGCCAAATATGGTTATAAATGTCCTATATGTAATATAAATTTTGCTTTGGTAATTTTGTAACACTTCTTCATTTCCCTTTTGTATGAACTTTGTATGTTTAAAAATACTGTTTTTATAATAAGTCGGTTTCCGTTAATTGATTAATGTATATATTTGAAAGACATGAACATCTATCAGCGTTCCTACGTGAAGGTTGTTTGGTGATGACACGATGAAACATTACGATTACCTTGACCAGAAAAGTAACAACGTGAGTGAGTAGTTTTGCCGCGACCGATCGTTGATTTCCCCAATAATAATATGCGTTGCAGTGGTTATCGCTGTTTTGCTCGTCTTTCCTATCCGCGTTACAATTCGATGAATGTTTTCATGCACAAGTCAGAAGGCGACTTTCAAGCAGCATTGAGTAATCCTGAAAATTAAAGATTACTCAATACGGCCGGATCGATTGCGTTCCACGCTCATTTTTTCTTCCTATAGTGCTTTTTCTATTGGATTTTTCCACGTGTAATATAACCCGTGATTGATAATACACCTCGAGACACAGTATCATTGTTCTTATTAAACAAATGTTTTTCAACTACCGTTTCGATATATGTATTATGCGGTACGCGTATGCAATATAATTTAGATGCAATTTGGAAAACTGTATTATATGCTATAGTATACATTAATATACGGTATACAAATAATACAATCTCCAATTTCTGGTGTGTTCTTTCTCTCTTTTTTTAAATCTGCTGCTACAAATAGTTGCGCTATCATTCTGCGTTTTCAATCTAGTCTCTAGCGAGCAGAAAACGAATTCTACCGCTGCCGCACGGTTATACGGTTTTTTGTACAGTTCGCGTCCGCTTTCTAAACCACTCTCCGCTTCGTTATGAATTTACGAACGCTTATTCACGTAACGCGAGCGTTACCTATCTTCCCACAATGTAACTGGTCGCAACGAGCACAGACCTGACAACACACCGTTATTTGCGAATCGTATCGTACCGTACACGTGATCAGCATCTACGTGGGTGCCGCAAATCCTGTTCCACAAGATTCTAACCCGCGCTTTATAATCGTAACGCGCCTCTGTCGTAAACAGTATCGTTACACGTTATTATCACGGTAACACGTTCTTTGTTGTTGCCTGATTATCGTGATTTATCCAATACACGAACAGTGTCTGACGAAGGTATTCAGACACATATCACAGAAAATTTGTATGAATATATAATTTGCAAAATATAAATATGTATACGAACACTTTTGTAATTCCATTAGCAGTGTAATGAGACATGATTAGTGTGATTATATTGGGGAAATTTAGGATCAATCTTAAAATGTATATCTTGGCTCAAAAGCTTGGTGAGTTTATATTTGTTCCGATACTGAAGGAAAATTAATGAACAGCTGAAAGATATTATTCGACTTAGTATTTTATGCGCTAAAGAAAGTATGTGATGCTGATCTATGAATAACGTTATTAAGAAATTCATAATCTTTATCAAATATTAAAACATTGTTAAAAATAAATGATGTTCTAAGAATTTTGAACGGTAATGTATATAGAAATTATGAGAAGTTTATTGCAAACATATAGTTAGTAAAAAATTAATATAATTCGTGGCCTCAAACGTGTCCTTAGTGGTAAAGGTCATTTCATTAAATATGTATTAATAAATCTTAAATATTGTAGTCTATGTTTTCTAATTTACATACTAATTTTTAATTAAATATATATTCGCAGTAAATATCGTCTAACTTCCATACACATTTTCAGATTTGTTTTACACTTTACCAAGGTAATCATGATAGTCGTATCTCATTACAGGGCTAATGAAATTTCAGAATACTTTATGTAACGTACATAATATATTCCTTAAAAATTTCCACAGTATATAATATTGTAATTTTGAGTGAATGTGTCATAAAGAAATCGTATAAAAGATTTATTTGAAGTATTAGTGAAATAAATGAACGTTTATTTTAAGGTATTGAACAAGCGCGGATTAACTGGGAAAATATACATGTACTAGACTGAGATACGTAGAGCTACGTAGAAATTTGGCTGCACGTGGCAAGAATGTGTGCCATATGTGTGAAGTAGTTAATGCAGTCTGATTGACATGTGAAAAATATCTAGTTGTAAGTAAATCGTTCAATTGTTTCACTTGACTGCATTGTTTGAATTATTAGAATTGTATAATCGTTGCATTTATCATTATAATACTTAATAGACTATTAGTTATTTATATACTGAATATGTATTACAGTATATGTAATATATAACAAAAGAAGGATGAATTTACGTTACAACCCAATAATATGCAATATATATATATATATATATATAAATCGGGGACGTTCCTGGTACAAAAATCTTGTCGACTAGTTAAAATAAAAAATTATTACACGACTCGATATTTTAACACGTTCGCAATTATTGCTTCGATGTAGCTCGAGGTATTTCACGTAGAAATGCAGCTCTCCTCGAGCCTCTCCGATCGAATCGAGCTCTTCTTGCGCTCTCGAGTTAATCGACACGGAATGTGCGTAAATACATAGCGGAGCGCAGATTCGTTCGTCGAATTAAATTCTGATCGTAGCTGAGTCCGAACAATTACGCGCAGTCGCCAATCGCCATGGACAATTCCATTTACCAAACGGAAATAATAATTCACGATTTACGTTAAACCGTCACTTCTTTTTCAAGGATTTACGGATCGACCCAGTGAAGTCGAGCCGTAACGCGTGTTGCCACGTTACATAAAACGCCATCGAGCATTGTCTTGTGTCTATCTTTGGCCGGCATCCCTCGAATCACCTGAGCGACTTTCACCCAGTCCCATTCCGACTGAGATGAACATGCCAGATTTTTCTCCCCGAGGAAAAGCGTCGTATCTCGCAAACAGGTCACCGCGAACCCCGATAAATGGGTCTTCTCGATGTATACGTTTGTGTTGCCAGTTTTATTTTCAACTATTGGCGGCCCTACTCCCACTGATTTTGGCCCATTTAATTCTTTCACCTTAGAACAGTGAGAGATGGGCAACGTGAAACTTTTGTTAGTAAAATCGATATGCAACTCCCGCCAGCAACCTTAAACACCGTCAGAATCACTCGACGCGTCAATTCTTCCATGTCGTTTGCTTAATTTTCCCATTCTCGAGTTACAGCTCGTAAATGCGTGGCACAAGCGAAGCTTAGGAGATTTTACAGCACAAAATAAGACGAGAAGCAAGAATAACGAAACTGCGTTGGTGGTTTCGTTTTTGAGAAAGTTGAGTTTGGAAGCTTGCGAAGTAGACGTATTTGACTAATTCCCGATTGGAAAGCGGAGAACGATCGAGGTCCTTGCCCATTTGATTTCTGTTCAATATATTTTAACGTTTTTAAACAAAATATTGAGCATTACGTAATTTATATGAGTGTATCTGTAGTTATATCGCAAGAGAATTGTAACGAATTAAATCATGAAGTTACGTAGTAATACACATACAGACCATCTGTTCTTTCTTCCGTTTGACGACGAAACCCAGCAAGGATTTCGACACGATGTAACGTCAGATCTCCTGTTGCCACGCATTTCCTCTTCTCACCTGCAGCACGTGTGATACATGTTCGGTAATACCACGGACCCACAATCCTTTCTTTCTTCCATTCGAATATTATCGTCAGCTGAAAAAGTTATTGCATATTTGGCGCGATGACAACTAAAGTTTCTCGTATTGAGAAAATAGCAGAAATAATTAGCACGGAATAGCATAATTAGACGGAATAGCAGAAAATTAATGGACAACACATTGAATTTTGAAACTGCTGCTCTGTAAAGAATGAAACATGTTTCATACTAGTCTTCATATAGAATAATTGAATTTTTTTAATAAGGAACGAGTAATATTAGTTTAGCTCAGTTTAATTAATATTAATCTGCATAATTAGGAGTTCCGGGGGAAAATAGAAAACAGGCTAACACTTAATCTGAAAATTAAATGGAAAGATAACTTTGATGCGGAATTGGTTGACAATGTGTGGAATTTTTAAAATGTCTTTCCATTTAAGAGTGTGATTTATCGTATTTCTTATCTTATCTGTGTCCTTCGCTTATTGGAATATTATAAATTATAATATAGTTCGAGTAAAAAAATTCCTTCGATAAACAATATTAAGTGACCTCGTTGATCGAAGTACCTCTTCAAGGGAACACGATGCCTGTCTTCCTGATTTGGGTCACTTCTTGATCCTTCTGAATCGGCGCGAAGTTTTCAAGGAGTGATGGTAGCCATGTCGTGCAGTGCCATCTAAGGGGTGACCGTCAAGTGCTTATCGTAGAAATAGGTCGAGAAAATTTATAGGTCACGCGATACAGTCGACTCGACGGGCGGAAAAGCGACGAGTAAACGACCCTTTGAAATATCGCGACAACGGAAAATGGGCCATCTTTCAACTTGCTCTATTCCCGCATATCTTTTACGCAATCGAATTCTTATTTTCTAAATCCTTCTTACTTAATCTTTGTCGTTCCAAGCACTGACTCCGATCATCATTTGATTATAATCTTTGGGTTCTAGTTTGTGGACTATAATAATCATTTAAATTAAGTTGTTGTCCTGCTGGAAAGTTCGGAGGTTCCTTTGTTTTTCGGATAAAATAACATTTTTTCGTGCATTTTTCCGGGTACTGTAATTGTAACTTTTATTTTTAAATATAATTAATTGCTGTTTTAATACTGTAAAAAAATAATATCGCGACATGATGCAAATTTTTGATGGGATGAAAATAATAAAAAGAGTAAATTCTAGTATTACAGGAGAATCTAATATCATAACGAGTATTGGTCCTTACGTATTTGCTATGTTATTATGTATTATATGCATTGTAATTTCGTATCTTTAAATTCTCCATAAATGTATAGAAATTCGCAGTAAATTCTCTATTTAATGATTCGCAGTAACTCTACTATTCGAATATGTATATGCATTATAATGATTATTGATATTGCGCACATATGTTTTTTTTTTATCATTCATTACTTTATTGTTAAAGTAATGTGTCCCTGTCACGTGTCAAGAGCACTACATTATTAAAGAACTCAACGCACATGCTTGTTTGTTCCATCTGATATAATCGAACGGAGTTATCGTTTCTTCTTTACTTGTTTTTCCAATCGTATCACGTATTTTTTGTTCTCGATCGAAACGATATAAATCTCGATTTTTGTACTGTTATTTTTGCATTGTTTCAGGAAACATAAGAATGGTCGTGTAATTGCATGAATAATCGATCTCGTCCTCGATTCCGCGAATACCTTTCGTTGATGTCATGTGAGATTACTGACTGATAAGCACGATCAATGTTCCCATGTCACGTTGGAAAGTGCAACAAAATCATCGCTGCTTAGAATACTATAGCAACTATTTCCAATTCAATTACTAACTTGTAATTGTGCCTTATCTTTGTCCTTCTCTTCACTCGCAATGTCATTATGTGTACAGTGGCTTATAAAAGTATTTGGAAGCATGTAGAATTCTTTTCTAATTATGCGTTTACGGAACATTTTGAAATTTCATTAACACTGTAATAGAATCCGACTATCATGATTACATATTGAAATTAGAGATTAAAGTGTTGCAAATTTGTGTAGCCTTATCCAAGATCATATACGACATATAGAAGGTTCTCGGAATCTCACGCTATCGTCTGTGAATTGATTCGTTAAGCCTCCTCATAATGCAGTACTGTGCACAAGTACTTATCATTATATGAATTGGAGTGTAGGAAGAAACTCTCGGCTTGAAAACTCTAAAATTAAAAACACAAACGATCCTGCGTCGTTGAAAATCGTCAAAGAGTTGTTAAAATTATCATTACCATGATACAAGCGCGATTTTGAATAGGAAATATCGCGATCCAGACTTGAAATTCGAACCTCTGGGTAATTAGTTAAATACACGATCCAGCATGGTAGAAATTATTCTACCGCGGAAATGTAAACAAACGCTCGATGGAAAGTAACTTAATTCTAGGACGCGCTATCCCGGAGGACGAGGTGGATATTTGGGCCATGACCAGGTTGCGATCAATATAGCGTCCCGTCGGCAAACCATCGACGAAAGTCCGCCAACAAAGTCGGCGACGACCCTTATGTACGCCCTGTATGCGAAATGGATTCATTCTATACCAATGCAAGTGCGTGGAACACGCCGTGAAAGGGAAGAACGCGTCCCTTCTCTCAGCCATGTTTCACTGCGATACACGGATGATCATCGATTTGTTGATACCTTGTCGTTATTCCATCGGTTATTATCGAAACAAAGCTACGTATTCATTACGCGTCCATTATCGACGATATCGCCTTTGTCCCGCGGGTTTTGTCTTTCCAAGAAATGATCACAATTCGCTATTTGCCATTAAAACAAACAGATAACAAAACAAAGCAAACAGATTCGCTTCCGTGACGTTTCAGCGAGTAGTTACAAGTCGACAAGAGTATCCCTTCGATACGTAGAACAAATCGAATTTTATAGAGCCCTCGGTTCTTGGGTGTTTTCCGGGTAAATTCATCCCTCGCGCGATTACGTTTCCCTCGAGCTCGAACCACATCAGCGTATCGCCTATCGTTCGTTCAATTTTTTCTGGACGCGTCGAGCAATTCGCAAATGACTTGTAAATAATTTTCGGAACCCTGAACAAGGGCCTTTGCGATAATTTACATAAACGATTATTGATCCGTTGTAACGTAGCATCGTCTTAACGCGCGTCCTGCGCTCCTGTTTTCTTTCTGTTCCAGGCACACATGAAGTTCCCGCCCGATTATCCGTACAGTCCACCCAGCATTCGGTTTATGACGAAAGTTTGGCACCCGAACGTATACGAGGTGAGTAAATACAGGAATTATCGATCCTCCGCGTGCTTCTTTTCATCCCCTTCCGTATGGCTCGGCTGTTTTTTCCCTCGTTCTCTCCCTTCTCTCGGCTGAATCTTTCTCCCATAGTCAACCATCCCCTTTCGTTTTCTCCGATTTCCTCTTTGTCCCTTACCCTGCATGTTGTAACTCCCGCGTCGTTGCTCGAAGGACTCGCGAAATCTGCAATCAAAAGTGTAGCGTCGTTTCGCTGGAAAATCCAGCGCCTACAAGTACTCGATATTTCCAGTCTTCAAATATCAAGCGGTCGTAATTTCGACAGCCGACTCTACTATCGTCACAGGCAAGATCGCTCATCTTGTAATAGAACAATTTTTTCTCCTTCAATTCGCGATCGTCGATATCGGATCTCGCTTTTATAATTGCAACTCTTCCTGAAAAACTACGTTTCGTACTACCAAGAGCTGAAAATTGCCATCGATCGAAGATACCTTATCAACTTGGAGCGCATCTGTGACGGGTTCTTCGTGTGACCCTTCAGCGACTAGCAAAGAGTCAACGACCGTCCAAAGCTCGTTGGACATCCGTATCCAGTCACTTGTTGGAAGGGATGGGACTAGGCGAACACGCCGCGGCTAACGGGAATAAACGCACGTAAATCTCACGCGTCCAGTAACATGCATTAATTATACAATGGTCGATAGTTGCACCAAGTTAGATCATCACGATACCATATACACGCACCATATGAAGATTAGTACATTTGAATTTTATTTTTAGAAACGAACGAACGTACAGATGAAAGCTGACTGATTTTACTTACAATAACTGTGGGCCTTAGATAGATAGATTATAAGATAAGTGAGAAACGGTGACGTGGAGTAAGAAACTCTATCGTTGTTCGGCCAATTTTTTTTACGATGAAAGTTTCGTTCCGTTACATCGTGCGAATAATATCGCCGACAGTTGCGCTTTCGCATACGCTATTTTCCATGCAATGAACACTTTTCATACGTTACGTATTTCCATGCTCTCGCGCAGAGGCCAATGCACTTCCACATACCATCAACTCGAACGCCTCTTGCTTTCTTCCATTCTCATATATTTTTTTTTTTTATTATTCTTTTTTCCTTTTCCTTAGCGAGATTAATCCTCCGCGAAAACGTGACAACGAAGAAGAATATAAGTAATTTGTTTAATGAGTATATAATGGAGTGGCCCGAGTGAACACGAGGATTGTCTGTCACCTCGGTGAACTCTATAACCAGTGCTCCACGATTATCAGTCAATCGAAGCATCTGCGCGTCCCGTCGGTCTTTTTTCTTCTTTTTCTTCTTTTTCTTTTTTCACTGACACTCAACGTGTCTCGCCTTTGTTTCTCCAACGAGATAGACCGCTCGTCGCCGATGTGAAAAGGGGGAAGAGTACTCTCGTTACATCGCACGATTACATTATGTATGTCACATACGATTTGAGTACTACCGTCCTTAGCTAGAATCTCGTATCTACCATTTTGAAACACTCGACGAAACCGAAATTTCATAATTTTTTATCATCTTTGCTTCTTCGATCAATTAAAAATATGTAATTATAATATTTGATTAGTTTATATAATTGTCATACATAAGTATACACGCGGTAAGGGCTAACACATAATTACTAGTATTTATTATCTCCCAGTAACTCTTGCGAATAATTTCAATAAATTTTTATACGCATCACGTCTCAATCTTGCATAAATACAACCTTATAATCGATTAATCGTTCCCTTGATAATTGAAATCTAGGTTAATTATCACGTTTCATAGAAGAGAGCAACGGGTGTATACGTTTTCGGATCTGTTTGAAATTTTATCGGTATAGTCAATTCAGACTTCGCTACAGGACTTGGCTACTTAACACGTTAAATACGGATGACTCCATACTCCATGGTGGTTTCACGGTTCATCGTGGCCGCTCCTGGAGGCGAGTGACTCCGCGTTGACGTCAAGCGTTTCACGCGTTAAGAAAAAGACATTCGATCGCACTGAACGCTCGTGACTTCGGCTCAACGTGCAAACGAAATTTCAAAATGTTTCGTATAATATATAGTCGTGAAAAGTTTCTACAAGCATTCGAATGATTCCATGAGTCACTGCGAAAATTGAAAACTGCTGGATAAGAGATTTTAAGTAAAAAGGAGGACAGACCAGCGGAACTTAGTGAATCCTACGTAACCGTGGCACGTTCAATGACGACCGAATGACTTTCCACGAAACCTCTTTGTCCGCGTGAGTCACGTGCATGAGAGATTTCTTGCTCCGCGGGGGATCTTACGAGCTCGCTCTAAACACGAGACACTGCCAGACAATAATAGTCGTCTCGCTTGAATTTTTCCTCGGCTACGACCGGCGATATGCTATTGTTCTCTCGAAACTGTTTGTCGAATGACAAGTTACGACTTCTTCGCTGGAATCTAAATAGTACCATTTCTCTCGAAAAACAAAGAGAATACGGATCTATTGCTTTCTTTTTGAATTTTTCACCGGTGGATAAAAAGGTAACGAAGATAACGAAAGAGATCAGTGCTACGCGGATCTTTTCCGTACATAGTCTAGTTATCGAAGGCCTTCGATGAATCTATTCGCGTCACCATCCTTCGTTCTTCTCGTGCAACACATAGATATACATACAAGTGACCACAAAATTCTAGAGAGTCTTCTATAGAGTTACCGATCTATAAATCTGAAGTACCTATTAAAAACGCAACAATAGGATATTTTCCTATTTATTGTATGCATATACTACTACATGTGTTTACCATTTAAATATAATCTGACTGTATCGACACCTAAAATCTTTCTATATGTTTAGAAGACCCGTCAAGTTTTGCCAAGTAACAAAATAGTTCTATAAGCTTCGTCGATTACAAGTACCAGTTTCGTTATTGCATCTTAGTTTTTGAAAACCAATATTAATCGCGTCACGATCATATTCAGTTATGATGTATAATGTATATGCCACGTACATGTTGTTAAAAATAAGCAGACGCCCGGCTTTCGTGCGACAGCGTGCACTTCGTTTATTTCTGTGCCACTTTGTATCGAATGCACCTCGTTATCAACCGAAGCGCTTCGATATTCCGTGACATGACGACTGATGCGGCGCATCTCTTCGCAAGCACGGCTTGACCCTGGTACACCCACTTCTTCCTCGAGCAGTGGAAGTCAGATACGCCGTTCGAAGAACGGCGTTGAGGTGGAATCATTACAAAATCCGTAGGCTCGTTTGCCCTCGGCGCAGAGAGGTCGTCGCCTTAAGATTCGACGAACCGTAAAACGTCTGACCGGCTGTACGTGCACCAGCATACAGAGCACGAGAGAGAATGAGAGAGAAGAGATTCACGCTCGCTCTCATGTTGCTCCCTGTCCGCGCTTACGCCAGCTACTTCTCCGTCTATCTGGCTCTCCGCCTTTGTAGATGAGAAGAGAGATGCGTGTATACGTGTGTCGCAGGTTTACTCGACTGTGTCGGCGGTTGGTATATCGACAGAAATTACGCGTGTATAGGTGCTGCCGTTTACGAGCGACTCTAAGGCCGTAAGGTGGAAACGCTCTGGGATAAGGTCGCGCTTAGGACTTCGATCTACTATTTAATCCCTTAACGCCACAATTTTCAACTAGTGGCGCACGAGTTTTTATAACACACAATGGTTAGCAGCACTGACGACCGCTTTTCTCTTAGATTGTCAAATAAAAATAATAATAGCCAGTCGGAGCGAATGCCCTCTTTTTAATCAAATATAATATATATATATGTGTGCGTGACGATGTGGCGCAGAATTTTAGTAACCAGTTTGCCCGTGTCATGAAATGGAAAAGATTGAAAATCGCTACCTCAATTCTTTTTTACTAATCGGTCAAAATGCGTAATTTCGTTTTTAACGAAATTGGGTAAATGTGAGGAAAAATTTATATAGCGCAAGTTATTTTCCTTTTGACATATATCGTAAAGGGTACGTTTCTAAGTAACACACGCTTTGAATTTCATGGCAGTCTTTTTTGGTTCTTTAGACAAGCGATTCTGAAATATTATAAAAATAATCTTCCTAGAAAAGAAAATTTAGTCTCTACGATTTCAACCTTGACATATATTTTCAAGATTTTGAAGTAAACGCGGAGTAAAGAGTGCCGCGCCTCTTCCCGGAAAAGATTTTGACCTAATCTAAGCCAAGCTCGATTTCGAGATATAACGAGATTTTATTCTAAAAATATACTGACTAATAAACAGTTATAAGTAACTACAAAGAAATGTAAACATTTATTTTGTATTTAAATTTGCTTAATATTCCGTTACTGTCAATAAACCAGGTTTAACGTTTAGTTTCGTTACGAGTTTTTAAATAAGTACGGTTTACAAAATCTCATGTCTCAAGAATCAAAAGAGACTGGCGCAAGATTCAAAGCGTATGTTGTTGCTTAGAGACGCACTCTCTAAAATGTATGTCAAAAGAAAAATGATCCGTGCTATGCGAGTTTCTGTGAATTTTTACCCGGAATTATCTCGTCACTATACAATAATATATATTTTTGTAATTTTTACTTAAGTCTAATGTAATTTGACAGAAATATGTCGACGTAGATATTAGTTACAGAAATATACAAATACATTTAATATTATTTAATATATGCGGATATTTAATATATATGGATGCGAATCAGTTGAGATAAAATATCGCGAATATTGCAAACAATTCGCAGCAGTTAACGGGACAAGAATCTCGCGCAGCTTCGTCAAAACACCACGAAAATCAGCTACTTGTCTTAAAGGAGTTTGCTCTTGTGCTTGTATGATTGTAATTGTTCGTTTAAAAAATAGTCAGTCGTTGCGCGGAGAGCTTACGAGGGTCGTTTAATTCGAGATAATTCTTCTGGAAGCTTAATCGGTATACACAAGCTTTTGTACTTTACTCATACATGTTTGTGAACGTGAGTGTATCTTATCTTCACATTTCTTATACATTTCTTATCTTC